CGCCAACCACTCGGCTACACCGCCACGAGCCCCTTTTGGGTCACAAGGCAAATGTGAATTTTCAAGGAAGTCCAGGCCTTTTTGCCATATCATATGTTTTTCGTGGAATTTTTGATGAAGAAAACGTATGTTTTGCTATAACAATCGACAACTATACTTTATTTTTAGAATAAAGTATTGTTTTTCGTCACTACCAGTAAATCAGTTATAAGATCTATTTGTGGTAAAATTCTACTTCTACCAGTCCTTCATCACCTCAAAACGAAATTGGGTGAATACATCTTATAACTGATTTATTGGTAGTCACGACAAACAATGCTTAATTCTAAAAATAAGCTAAGCTTGTTGAGGTGCTTTTGAGCGTCTGGCTTGTGCACCCGTTTCCATTTCCAATTCTACCCCGACGAGGAGTCTGAAATAGGCGAGGAGGCATCCAGAAACACACCTTAATCTTCAATTGAGATGCACCATCCTTTCAACTTTGACAACAGGTCAATTCGGATCTCTTCTAATCAAGGGCATTTGTCATTTCACTACGTCCACACACTGTAATTGTCTCAACAGGACTGGATGATGGAAGAATCCGAAACGTCATGTCCTTTGATGGCAAACCTTCGCGATTGTTCCACGTGGCATTTGACTTCATGAGGTCCCATTTTTATGCACTACGCCATTGTAGGCATCTCATTGAGCCAGTGGACGCAATAACAACACTCCCTTTGCAATTATGCATACCGAATTCTACCGCTGTTTGGCTTTTAAAGCTCACGAATTTTGGCCTAGTTTTTGGACTTCACCAGACGCAAATCACGCCTGCAGGGCCCGACTGGTCAAGTCGTTTATGCCACCACCTGCGCCCTTGCGACTCAATTTGGATCAGGTCAACCTATCGATCGGAAAATAGGCCAGTTGTTCCTCCCGCTTTTGCTCGTTTGACATTTAACTTTGCCCACCTCTCACTGCACGCACATACAATGCATGCCCGTACACAAACACACAAACAAAAGAGCCATGCACATGTACATCGAGGTCAGCGGCT